GTCATATCCCTGCTGCAAATGTTTTTTCTGCCTCCAGCATCCTCCTTGAGCCTGGGCTAGCACATGCCATGCTACACTGCCATACACTGTTCATTTGACATTTGAGTGTGTTTGAAAGAACCTGAAGTACTAATTCTCCTGTCACTCAGTCGCTAACTTGTTGGACTACATATAGACCAAGTCCAGATGGTAGGCTGATGTGCAATCAAGACAATGCACAGTGTGTGCCTGTCTTTTATAGGGTAATAACACCCTTGTGTGACTAGGCTGATGGTAGCTCTACTGCTATCATGGGAGAAGAGTCCATTTAGAGCCCCTAAGAATATAATTGCCCCACCCTGTGTAAACATTGGGACATGTCATTGTCTAAGCCCCATGTTTATCCCTTGCGGTGCTCAAGTTCCTTATAGGCTTTAACACAAAGTTCAGTTTCTAACAGTCTATTGCATTTTTTGGCCTTATTTGTAGTTGCCTTTTGCTAGCTAACTACTATTAAACAGAGTTAAACCAAAAGAAAATAAATATACAATACAAAAGTCAGAAACCACTCTTTCATTGCTTCAATTTCCAGTCAAAATGGCTATTAGGTGTTTATTCATGCTCCAGGTGGAGGAAAATAATCACAAAACATATATAACAGAAAAGTACATAGCAACTGTCACAATAAAATATCAAAATGTAATATCAGCTTTTTCAGTATTTAGTATGTCCACCATTTGGCTATAGTAAAGCTTCCATTCCTTTTGAGAGACATTTAGAAATACATAGTGAGAGTGATTTTTCAAAACCTCTGAAGTTCAGTCTTAGAAGTTGGTTGCATTTTCTGCTCCTTACGATTCAAGTAATCCTAAACACATTCAGTGATATTGAGGTCGGGACTGGAGTGGCCAGTCCATTGTTCTGAAAACGCTAGCAGCGTCTTTGTTTGATTTTCAGTTTCCTTTTCTCAGTAATGGCTTCTTGACCACTACACATCCTTTCAGACCCATAATGTTGAGATGTCTTCCCGCAGTGGAAGGATGGACAGAAACACCTGTGGATTTTTTTCAGATCTGAAGCAAGGGTGGAGCTTTCTTCTATCTCAAAGATGAAATCTTTAAGTACTCTTTACCTGATGGTGATGGTTGTCTACCAGCTCTTGTTGGGAGTCCTATTTTCTCTATATCTTTTAATAGAAAATTAGTAAGCTTCAACTTTGAAAATTCCTGTTTTCTGCAGTTAATATCTTTTAACTTTCCCCTTTTTAATGCAAGCAAATTCTTATATTTAATCTGAGAAATATCTCCTAAAAGATGAATATCATGTACTCGGCCATTTTGACTGGAACTTTAAATGAAGGTGGTCTCTGACTTTGTATAGTACTATAGGCAAAGGTTTGGTTTTAAAGATTTTGTTGAATTGCTGTTTTACTGTTATGTAGCTTGTGTCACAGACTTTGACACAGAATCACTGATCCTTTTTTTGTAGCTTGCTTGTGTAAAATGCACATTCTTTTTGGCATGCCACTACTAGTCTGATCACCTTTTCCATGTAAGGAAAGGAGGCTTTTAGTTAAAATCATTTTGGGATGCCATCATTTGAGAACACATTTGTTTCTATTGCCTTCTCATCACTGGGTTTTTTTTTGTAAAAGCAGGGAAAGAATTGTTAAAATGTAGTGTAGAGTGATATTATGGACAGTAATGAAGGTATCAGTGGAATTACTGTTCTCTATATGATTACAAAGGCATTGCGGCAGTTCATTGCTTGTTATTTTGCTCTTATCTACTCTTAGTATTTGCTGTAGTACTATTTGGAGAATATATCAAGTGCAGTAATTCTTTGGAGATTTCAACATTCATTTTTGAGCTTATAAGATTGACAGTAACTTGAATGAATCTGTCATTGACGTGTATTGTCTCTCAAAAAGTATACTGTTCTGCTTAATTCAGTTTTGATCGTGGTCAGTGGAATGAAATAAAATTGTGAGTAAACCTATGTATTTAAGCGACAGAGCAGCCTTCTTTAACAACATAGCTCTTATAAGTTGGCAGAAGAACACTGGCCACATTTAAGTTGCTTTCATACTGAATGCGGAAAATTCACCCTTGCGCTTTCAAGCACATTATTTCAATAGGATGTCTGGTGCAGATGCAGAAAATGGAGTCTCCTCCGGCAGACACACAGGGTCATATAAAGTTAAAATGTTTTCAGCTTTTGAGTGACACGCTTTGGCCAAGTCCCAGCACAGCAAGTAGGAGTAGGCGTGTCTGGTAGTTCCTGTTGCCATTGATGAATCTAGAAAATTTTGCCGTGGGTGGCAATGTGAGTGTAGGAATTTTGTGGTGGCATTTCGGGTGGCCAGTCAGATTTCATGAAAGACACTGACCACTTCAGCCACCCCTTTAAAACTGCACATGCTTGTCACTACCGAAAAGGTTAGTTTTCTCAGAAAACACTGGCCACTTTCACAGCCAACTGACGAGCGCTACGCAAGCTGTGAGTGGTGTGAAAGTAGCTTGCCCCCAACAAGCGCAGTGCATACCGTGTTCAGTGTAAAAGCAGCTTTAGGCCATGTTCTCATTACCAGGCTGAAGTGGCACAAATCTATTTTTTTTTTGCCTTAATGTGACACAGATGTTTTTTTTTTTGTTTTTTTTTCTTCAGAGCTGTATGGGCAAACAAATCTGATCTTTTCAAATTCGACCTGAGCCACTGTCATATGTGGTCCTAGGTCACATAGATATCCGAATCATGGCCATCCGAACTTACTGAGCATGCTCAGATCAGAATTCATTTGTGTTTATTACGCATGCGCCATCGTTCAGCGTTAATGAGGCAAAAGCATTAAACCTGGTGTTGTTGCTAGTAATTGGTGCAAAAGCAATGCATCTGACATTTTTTGCTCTAATAGTGAACAGCTGGGAGCTGTTCAGAGCAAAACATCTTTATGATGAAGGCTTGTTCTGTTGTTGAGTTTGTTTGCTGTTCATGACGCGTGTGGTTCATTCATGTGACGTTATTGATAAGGATGTGTGCATGCAAGTTGTTTTAGGGCATAGGTTCGTTCACATTAATGACCATCACTTACCTACACAAATGTAAGAAAGGTAGAAAGATGAGATCTGAGAAATAAATTAGATTTGAGCAATAAAGCTTGTTATTATTGAGCAATGAAAAATACCAGTTATTAACCACACAGACCCCCATTAAAGGAAGTAGCAGTTACATGGACCTTGAAATTATAGTCTTGCAGGTTTGGTGGGGTGGGGGGTGAGGGATGGGGGAGTAGCAGCTTGTGAAAGACCTGGAACCGAAGACTATTGTTAGAGCCCTGCAGCCTTATTGTTTCTATGGCAACAGCAAAATAAACTGCTGCCAAGGTGGATCCCTGGATGTAGGCCACAAAGCAGAAGACTGGGAGAAAGTTTCGTCTTATATAAGCGTGAACTTGACACATTTGGTGAAACGCTTTCCAAACGAGGTTACAAGCGGTTTGGAAAAAATCTGTATTTCGTAATGTTTTTGGGAAGGAATCTGTGTTCTCATGGCTCCCCCAGTCCTTTCTTGTTATTTTATCTTCAGCTTTTGCGTCTTCATCAAGAAAGAAAGAAGAAAGACAAACCACATATGGGTCTGGACTTAAAAGTACACTAAAAAATATATAGTGAGAAATAACTGTGTGTCAGTTTTATTTACTGATGAGACAGTGTTTTTAGAACGGGCTGAATTACTAGGTCACATGGCCCAAGCCTATATCTGGCAGCAGAGCCACAGCACAAATGGTCACCCAGTTTAGCTGTGCTGCTGATTCAAGCACACTATCTCTGACTTCAGAGTTTAGCAGGAGCACATTAGGCTACTGTATCTGAGCCATGACAAGCTTGGGCTAAAGTTCTTTGGCCCTTGCAAAAAGACAACCGTGCTAGTAGCCGGGATCCTGTTCTAAAAGTACAACTGAGAACTCTCCAAATCTGTTTAAGTTGTATTGCACTTGGGGCACTGCTGATGTTTCTAAGGGCAGCGTCATTAGTCGGGAAATGTCTAGGCTTGATCCCTGCCTGTAATGTTTCTGAAGTCTTTCCCGGCAGGCAAGAAGTGAACACAAGCCATGACTTTCCCTTGTGTTTGAGGCTTTCTTCATCTGTCAGCGCTACATTGATTAGCGCTCTCAGTGCCGAACGCGGGTGCACCGAGAAAAGGCTGCCTTTTCTCTTTCATCATGATCCGTAATTTAGCTCCGTCTTGGTCTGAGCTATTGTTTGCACCATTTGCCCGCATGTTTATGCCCCTCATTCCATTTAACTCCAATATTTATGCCTGCCCCAAAGAATAAAAGGGGGGCGTTCTATCACAGCTGTACTCCCTCCATGCTTGGCACCTTTTTAATACAGCAGAGTAGCTGCACACTGTGCACTAATTGCTAAATGCTGCTGGGAAGCTTAAAGGGGGAGGGTGGAGCAGGGAGGCTGCTTTCACTGACGGGTTCCACAGTGCATTGTTCTGCAGGCTCACCCGCAAAGTTAGCCGAGTGGAACATAATAAATGAGACTCAGCTGAGAGCTGCAGCCTCCAGATGAAAGCCTGGCGCTGGGCCCATCTGCTGGCAGCAGAGCTGATCTCAGGTCAGATGTACCCAGCTCCCACCACCCAGTCCCCCTGCCAAAAGCGCAGTGGCCTGGACCGCATTAGCTGTACATTATGGTGTATGTTATGTACTCTATGTGTAATATGCCGCGTATGAGACCTTTCATTTTAGGGAGAATCTTGTGCTTGCTCTCTCTTTGTCCATGTGCTTGTGGGGTTAGTTTCCTAGCTTGCCTTCAGCTGAGGGGCAAAAGAAAAGGAAATCATTGTTTATCTTGTGAATGCAATCAGTGGGAGGAAATTCAGTGGGTGGCTCTCAATAGCACCAGACAGCACATTACTTGTGATCTTGTCAGACAGTAAATCATTCAAAGAAACTAATATCTCTCTTCTTTTTTTTTTTGTTTTATATATATATATATATATAACCACAGGCTGGTCTTTGGAACCCTCTACCCAGCGTACTACTCCTACAAAGCAGTGAAAACCAAAAATGTCAAAGAATATGTAAGTAAATACTTTTACATTTACATTTACAGCATTTAGCAGACGCTCTTATCCAGAGCGACTTACAAAAAGTAAATACCCCATAGGTTCACTTATTTGCCTTCTAATATGCACTCTGAATGGGATGTGTGAATATTTATGTAAGAAGGGGTGCTGCTGCACATACATGTTGATGATCTGTCTGGGCTGACAGTGTTTTTGTACAAGCCCAGGCATGTGAGAAGGCGTGCGAGAGCCACAGGCTGTGTGACTGGATCAGATTGACATTCGCTCTCTGCATTGACTTGCGCTGGAGTCTTTGCCCTGCAAGGGCCTGCCCTTTGTCTTTAATATGAGTGAACCGAACAGGTGCTGTAGAAATTATAAATTAGGCTCCACCAACCACAGCAGTGTTTTCAGAAAACAGTGGGTTGACTCAAGGCTCCCTCTGCATACAAACAACAAGGCAAAATCTGCTAAAGCAGTCAGATACTTTGCATTGTAATATTTTGTACATGCCCTCAGAATAAATGTCCTTTGTTTTATCTTTATCTTCTGTTCTTGATCTATTTATCTACAACCCCATTTCCAAAAAAGTTGGGATGTTGTGCAGAATGTAAATAAAAGTAGAATGCAATGCTACGCAAATCATGTAAACCATGTTTTTTTTAAAGGACAATAGTACAAAGACAACATATCAAATGTTGAAACTGATAAATTGTATAGTTTTTTGAAAAATATGCCCATTTTGAATTTGATGCCAACAACACGTTGCAAAAATATTGGGACGGGGACGTGTTTCATCACCTCTTCTTTTAACAACTCTCTGTAAGCGTTTGGGAACTAAAGAGACCAACTGCTGTAGTTTTGAAAGTGAGATGTTTTCCCGTTCTTGTTTGATATAGGATTTCAGCTGCTCATCAGTTTGAGGTCTTCTTTGTTGTATTTTTCATTTAATAATGCGCCAGATGTTTCCAGTAGGTGACCAGGTCTGGACTGCAGGTAGGTCAGTTTAGCACCCGGACTCTTTTGATACAGAGCCGTGCTGTTGTAATACATGCAGAATGTGGTTTGGCATTGTCTTGCTGAAATAAGCAAGGCCTTCTCTGAAAAAGACATCGTCTGGATGGCAGCATAGGTTGCCAAAACGTGTATATCGTTCAGCATTAATGGTGCCTTCACAGATGTGCACGTCACCCATGCCATGTGCACTAACGCACCCCTATACCATCACGGATGCTGGCTTTTGAACTGTACGCTGAAAACAAGCTGAGTGGTCTTTAGCCCAGAGGACACAGTGTCCATGATTTCCAAAAAGAATTGCAAATGTTGAATTGTCAGACTACAGAACACTTTTCCACTTCACCTCGCTCTTTTTTTTTTTAAATGTGTTGTTGGCATCAAATTCAAAATGGGCATATATTAAAAAAAAACATATATATTCACTATATATATTCACTATATTGCCAAATGTATTCACTCACCCATCCAAATCATTGAATTCAGGTGTTCCAGTCACTTCCATGGCCATATAAAACCAAGCACCAAGGCATGCAGACTGCTTCTACAAGTATTTGTGAAAGAATGGGTCGCTCTCAGGAGCTCAGTGAATTCCAGCATGGTACTGTGATAGGATGCCACCTGTGCAGCAAGTCCAGTCGTGAAATTTCCTCACTAATAAATATTCCACAGTCCCCAGACCTCCAATCTTAATGTGGCCTTCAGCTTAGCTCAAGAACAGTGCGTAGAGAGCTTCATAGAATGGGTTTCCATGGCTGAGCAGCTGAATCCAAGCCTTACATCACCAAGAATAATGCAAAGCGTCAAATGCAGTGGTGTAAAGCATGCCGCCACAGGACTCTAGAGCAGTGGAGAAGTGTTCTCTGAAGTGACGAATCATGCTTCTCCGTCTGGCAATCCAATGGACGAGTCTGGGTTTGGCGGTTGCCAGGAGAACGGTACTTGTCTGACTGCATTGTGCCAAGTGTAAAGTTTGGTGGAGGGGGGATTATGGTGTGGGGTTGTTTTTCAGGAGTTGGGCTCAGCCCCTTAGTTCCAGTGAAAGGAACTCTTAATGCTTCAGCATACCAAGAGATTTTGGACAATTTCATGCTCCCAACTTTGTGGGAACAGTTTGGGGATGGCCCCTTCCTATTCCAACATGACTGCGCACTAGTGCACAAAGCAAGGTCCATAAAGACATGGATGAGCAAGTTTGGTGTGGAAGAACTTGACTGGCCTGGACAGAGTCCTGACCTCAACCTGATAGAACACCTTTTGGATGAATCAGAGCGGAGGCCAGGCCTTCTCATCCAACATGAGTGTCTGACCTCACAAATGCGCTTCTAGAAGAATGGTCAAAAATTCCCATAAACACGCTGGAAAACCTTGTGAAAAGCCTTCCCAGAAGAGTTGAAGCTGTTATAGCTGCAAAGGGTGGGCAGACATCATATTAAACCATATGGATTAAGAATGGGATGTCACTCAAGTTCATATGTGTGTGAAGGCAGACAAGCAAATACTTTTGGCAATGTAGTGTTTATATACATACATATATATGTGTGTATGTGTATGTGTGTGTGTGTGTGTGTGTGTGTGTGTGTGTGTGTGTATATCTCTGTATGGAGTTGAAACCTGCAGGTGGATCTCCAAGAGGACACTTGGTGGTATATACTGTAAAATATACTCTGAAGTACCACAGGAAACATTTGGATGACCATGGAAAAATTACATGAAGTGAAAAAAGTGCTCATCATCTACAGGGTGCACACTGCTGCGCAATTTAGCGCAAAATTGTTGTTTATTTACTGAATTTAATATATTGGAAAAAAACACACAAAAACATAAAATGTGGCCTATGCAAAAGTTATGACAAATCTTATATTTTTGCATTTTCCAATATGTTTAATATAAAATAAAATGAATTTGCAGCCATATTTAAGTGTTCCATGTAGTGGATGTAATAACTTGTTTACTTATACAATCAACAGAACATGTAATTTGACCAGGTGTGTTCAAATACGTGTTATGTACGACTATACATTATATACACACTCATGTAAATACAGTACTGTGCAGACATTGTAGGCAACCAGTAAAATTTGTTGTCTAGGCAGTAAATTTGTATGCTACATAACATTAAAATTGATGAAAATAAACATAAATACAGTAAATGTAACAAGTGTTGTAATTTTTTTTATTTTTTTTTTTTTATTTATTTTTAGGTTGTAAATATTTTGGTTAGAAGAGCCAAGAACCTGTGGCCGATTCAAGAAAGGTTTCTTGAGAAAAAACTTGCTAAGACAAACACTAAGAAGTTCATAAGAATGTTCTTAAACGCAATTCTCACGTATGAAGTTTTCAGATATTCTCATAATATAATCTTAATTATTTCCTTAAGATTTTCACAAGGTAAATTTAATTGTTTTCTTATGTAGGCTGTTGTGCATTTTACAGCTGCCTATAAATGATATGAGATACATTTAAATTGATATAAACTGTTATTTCTGATATTTAATCCACTCAGAGGAAAAACATCAAACCAAGCATTAAAAAAATTAGTAAATAAGACCTAGAGGTAATGATGGAAGAAACAGCCAACAGGAAAAAAACCCTCGTTGGAAAGTACGATAATTGTGGGGTCACACCAGAAGCAAGAGATGAGGACGGGCAGTGTCCGTGATAAATTTAGATGCTCACCTGATCAACTGTTACAGCCTAAGACAAGCGTGAGGCTATCGTGAGGTATGAAAAACATGTAATATTTTCAAGAATACCACTTTTTCTTGAATAATTCTTAAGAAAAGAGTTAAGAAAAAAAGATTTCTTTAGAAATTATTTAAAGAATATCAATTTTTGTAATTCTTCTCAAGAATGAAGTTTTTTCACATTCAAACACATTTAAGATTTTCTTTCTTGAGATACTTGCATGAGTCCAGCCCCTGATTTTTCTGTGCACTCTCTTGATTGCATAAGGTGGATCAGCAGTACACCTGATTTTAGTGAGACATTTGATTAGATAGACTTGGTATTGAATGGTAGCTGTAAATGTATTGGGCTTCTTCGACAAGATTTTTAGAAATGGTTAAGCTAATACACTGACACTCAAAACTACAATGTATTTATTTATTTATTTTTTTTGCATTTATTTTAATGTTAATGTTTTTTGAGCAATTAAATATTTACTGTTCAGACACATGGGTTTAGGTATAATTTTCTCAGTAGAACATTTACACAGTATTTCTATCTATAAACATTTCCATCTGTCAATGACTTAGCTGAATCCAGTGTTTTGTGTTGGTTATATTCAAATGTGAAAAGTCATTCCTAATTGATAAAATGTTGGTTTTTGAGATCTTACATGAAAACAAAACATTTTGTTCACAATGCAAACAACCTCACAATCTAGCCAATTTGTGCCATGTCTGTTCAACTAGAACATGGATTAAATAATGGAGGTGTACCGATCATGAATTTTTATGGCTGATTCCAGTTTGTTTTCAGCAAAATTGACCAGTGGGTGATTTTTTAAATTTTTGTGTGTGTTTTTTTTTTTTTTTAAACAGGTAATGCACAGCAAAGACAGTAATATTATCAATTTACCTATTTACCCGGAGCTCACATTTTGCATGCCACATAAAAACGCTGATATGAAACAGATACATGACTGTGCATTTCTGATGAAGCATTTGGAGGAGCATAAATATTCATAGATAACATGCCATACTAACATGGTTCTTATAGCCTAGTACTCGTCTAGAAAGGATCAGTTGTAACTGTACGTACAGCATACAACAGCAAAGAATGCATGAACGTACATATGTTTGCAGACAGAAATCATACATATTTATAAACAAGTGGCCCGATTCTATAGTAAACACACTGTATGAATGAACATGATTTTGTTTAACAAGAGGCTCGGAAGACTGCATACAGACTAACAGGTTCTTCCACTACTGTTCGATGTAGTCTGAGCAGTGTGTTTAAAGTATATACAGTGAAAAACTGCAACATACAAAGTA